TTTGTCTGGAATGTTAGATCGAGACGCAACCTTCACGGACGCTCAAAGTCAGAATGCCTGTTTTTTGAGTTATTTTTTAACTATAAAAACACCTTTAATTGAATACAGATAAGGTAGAGTTTAATGTTTAATGTCACAATGTGGAACATCGTAGGCAAAGCAATGACATCTCCATAGAAACAAGCAGGTGATGGACCCACAGCCAAAAAATTTCTCAGGTAAATTCTCTGCTGCTTTATCTGTACACAGCAAAAAGTGGAGTATTAAAATTGACTCTCACAGAATCAATTTTAACATTTTCTCAGAGTTTGTATGAGTCCAATCTGTTCTAGAGTTAATTTAACATTTTTGTAACACTAGACCAAAGTTCCCGTTTAACCCCGAAATCCAGAGTTATATTCACGTTTTGAGAGTAAACAGATAACACTTTGTAGAGTTATCCTGATTTAGCTAAACAACACACAGAGGTGTTTTATTAAATTTTTTACTTCATTTTAGTTCATTTAAGATGAAATTATATACAAAACTGGTTCAAACTTGTCTTCTCTCACAAGAGTTTGAAGTGGGGCCTGGTCAAGCAGAAGTAAACAGCAAGGCCAAAAATTCAAGTTAATGCATCTGATATAAAAATGTATTCAACAGATACATATGTACTCTAGTTTATGAAACTGTTTACCTTTTTTCTGTACCATTTTTGGTTCTAAAGTTCCATACGTTTTAAACAGACCATGTATGACACATGGAACAAAAATTATTTCCCAAATTTCAAAGACCTGAAAATCATATACATAAATTGATGTATTTTAACATGTGTTATTCGATCTTTGAACTGTTGAAGGCACATGATTATTATTATTTTTTTTTAATGTATTTAAAATGAATAAAATTTGCTAGGAAGGACTGACGTATTTTATAGAACTAGTTTCCTTTCATTTTGAAGTAATATTAAAGTATTCGGGGGAAAAAAGTTGACAAATTATGTAAAATCACCTTCTACTTGTTTGCACAATTTTCCCTCCGTTACTTTTCCCTCCGTTACCATGACCTTTCTTAATAAAAAAATCTCATTACTCAAAAAGTAAGAGGTTTTTCAACCTAATCTTGTACCATATGGTAGAAAACTATATTGAAGTAAATATTCAAACCAGTTTGTTAAGGATATGTAAGTGAGAACCAAGAGTTATCACTGTTTGTATTTATTTCCCAAAAAGTGCTGCATATTTCATTCCCTCTGTTACCGACATGAGTTTTTAAATTTTTTGTTAACAACTTGAAAGAATATCACAGGGTTAACTTTACCCTGTTGGAGTGTTAACTCTTTCCTACATTTTGATATCTTACTTATTTCAATAGTCCCTCTAGAGCTATTTGAATGTAAAAAATCTGCCCCTGTTTCCCTCCGTTACCGCTTGACCGGACCCAGTGGTGAATGGGAGGAGTCAACTTAACACTAAGGGAAGTTGAATTAACCTCAACCACATCAACTCTGGCAAATAACTCCAACTCGAACCCCCATTTAACTTTCAAATAGCTAAAATAACACTTTTGGTGTTAAAAACAACTCTGAAATATTTTACCCTAAAATTTTAACCCTCCAGTTTTTGCTGTGTGCTTTCACTTATGTAACAAAAAAAGTACTTCTACCCACACTGGACACTTCACCCAGCTTGACTCCATGTACCCTTGTATTAATAATTACTGGTAATTGACTGGTTTTCAATATGTAAACTACATTTGTCCAAAGTGAAATACTATAAACTGAGAGGCTTTGAGACTAGTCCTATGGTAAATTCTCTGACCATGAAGATGATGACAGATTCACAGTGAAACACGGTGGTTGGAGTTGGCATCAGGCGTTTAAAATGTTGATTTAATAATGCTGTCCATTCTATTACTGATTTACAATACTTTTAAATTGCTTTGCGAGGTGCTGATCTACGGACCACAGAGTAAATAAAGTAGAATAAAGCATAAATGACACCATAATTCAAACACATTAGATTGATTTTTTGATCCAGAGGGAAATTCAACATGCACTGCTGTACGCTGTAAAATCAATGTTAAGTACATAAAAAGTGAAATCGAGTAGGGACTATGAGGCTTCAAACAAGTATGATTCCAGAGCCAGCAAGGAAAATAACAAGGTACTAATTTAACTGTCAGACCTAATTTGATAAAGTCTACTGTACCAAGAAAATAAGAAAAAAATACCTGCCAGTAACTCTATTAGTGATGTGGGCCTGAGGCTGGTTTTGAGAATGGAAGAGCAGAACTTATAGCGAGATTGGCTTCACAGTCCATGGCTTCAGTATAAGTCTACAAATCGTACAAGAATTCAAGATCGGATCCTTTCACTGAGGTAGCAAAAGAAATTCAAATCTGTCAAAAGTGCAAAAGTTCAGAGGTTTTAGAGCGAATCTTTGTCCAGTTGACAGATTTGACTTTTTCTTTTGCTATGGATCATACCCGGACGACTGAGGGAATACACAGACAGATTTCACTCATCTGTTTTGTTCCTTTACTGCTGTTATTGTTCACATCATCAAATCTTACAAAATGTGATATATTGTGTGTAATGATTTGTCAACTCATAAAGGCAGCCATGTGTTTACCTCTGATCTACTGTATCTGTGTCCCTGATATGAGGTACACTTGTTCTAATAAAAATTATAATGGGGTAGGATCCAAAAAAACCTGATATAGTTTAAAACTCACAAAAAAATACACAATGGATTTAAACAACAAGTTTTCAGGATCCTGTGATCAATATGAGTGTGCATGGTCTTGTTTTTGTTATTTTCAACAAAAAAGATATATACATATTTATCAATACACATAGACTGTATACAGTGTTGGGATGGTTACTTTTAAAATGTAATCCCCTACAGACGACAGATTACATACCCCAAAATGTAGTTTGTAACATAATCCAGTAAATTACTTAAAGTGAGTAATGTAATCTGAATACTTTGGATTACTTGATTTGCTGTAGAGAAGCAAAGATGAGGATATCGTAACATAAGATGTTTTATCTGATAAAAGAAAATAAAAGGCCCCGTCTTTACTTAACCGAATTTAAAAATATTATTGATCGAAGAGGAGGAGACACGTACGTGCAGCATCGTTTAGTCCTGTTAAATCCTGTTTTAGTCCTGGTCTAGTTTTGGTTTAGTCCTGGTTTAGACCTGGTTTAGATCTAGTTTAGACCTGGTTTTAGTCCAGGTTTAGACCTGGTTTAGTCCTGGTTTAGTCCTGGTTTTAGACCTGGTTTAGATCTAGTTTAGACCTGGTTTTAGTCCTGCTTTAGACCTGGTTTAGATCTAGTTTAGACCTGGTTTTAGTCCTTGTTTAGACCTGGTTTAGATCTAGTTTAGACCTGGTTTAGTCCTGGTTTAGACCTGGTTTAGTCCTGGTTTAGTCCTGGTTTTAGACCTGGTTTAGATCTAGTTTAGACCTGGTTTTAGTCCTGCTTTAGACCTGGTTTAGATCTAGTTTAGACCTGGTTTTAGTCCTTGTTTAGACCTGGTTTAGATCTAGTTTAGACCTGGTTTAGTCCTGGTTTAGACCTGGTTTAGACCTGGTTTAGTCCTGGTTTTAAACCTGGTTTAGATCTAGTTTAGACCTGGTTTTAGTCCTGGTTTAGACCTGGTTTAGTTCTAGTTCAGACCTGGTTTAGTTTCCGGCAATGAGTGGAATTACAAAAAAAAAAGGGGGATATAGCCCAAAATGTGAAAAGAAGAAAATACCTCTGTGTAATCCATTTATTTCAACAAAGTAACTGTAATCCAATTACCACTCACAGAAACAGTAACTGTAACTGAATACAGTTACTCATAATTTGTACTCTGATTACATAACTCCAGTACATGTAATCTGTTACTCCCCAACACTGACTGCATATATAAATGAACAAGTCTAACTCACTAGCTTCCATGTTCCAAATAAGAAGTTTGCATGTGGGCTTTTCCAGGCTCCTTCTGACTCTGGCTGCCATCAACTTACACTGGAATATTGTGGCCCATCTCTCTGTGACTGCTGCTGTGAGTGTTGTCGTTTCGGTCTTAAAATGTTCATATTACCCAGCTCTACATGATCCTTGTGTTTTTATTTTGCTACTTTGTCTGTAAAAGAAATCCTATTCCTAATATAAAGCCTGTCTCCATTTGCTTCCATTAGCTTCATTTGACTGGAGCCAAACACTGTGGATGACGTCACACTCTTGGTCCACTTCTTTATACAGTCTGTGGTGCCAAACTAAAAAAAACTGTTGGCTAATACAAGCTATCTTATGCCAAAGGTCAGATTAAAGTGTAACTTGAGCAGAGCACAGCAGTGTTGTTAATGACATCAGCTGGAAAGTATCTACATGCAGGTTAAAGGGACAGTCGGGAATTTTGGACATAGTGAGCCAGAGTGTTGGAGACGTGTAGAGACACTTTTTAAAATATTCCATCCAGTCCTTGTATTTGCAGAGGTCGCTGGTGCTAGGCTAGTGCATGTCAATGGCCATAGTTAGCCTGCCACTAAAAACAGTCTTACCCACTAAACAAAACACCTGAAGCAGATCTATTATTACACCAGACTGTCGATGTAAATATCTGTGTTGAAAGAATAATTTTAGAAATAACCAACGTTGCATTTGAAGGATTTATGTCTGAGCAACAGCAGCGAGTTGTACTTCCTGATAGAAAGCTTGGCAGCCTGCGGAATGATATATGAGAAAATAGTCCCTCAACATGTGACAATTCATGTGATGCAAGGTTAGTTTTATTTTCAAACATTATTCTATCAACACAGACATTCACATAGATAGTCTGGCGTAATAATAGATTTGCTTCGGGTGTTTTGTGGAGTGGATAAGACTGTTTTTAGTGGCAGGATAACTATGGCCATTGACATGCACTAGCCTAGCACCAGCGACCTCTGTGTAACACCTGCTTAATAATATTAGGCTAGGGCTGTAGACTAGGTTCTGGAGGAGTAATATAAATGAGAGAAAATTTAAAGTTGAACAGCTGGCAGGTTTAATACAATTCAACAATGGCACAGTAAACCAGTGCAAATGACAAAGGTGTTGAGCTCTTTGAAAATAAAATAAAATAAAATAAAATAAAGTTAGGAATGTTAAATGTCTTTTGGTACTTGGTCCTGAGGTGCAAGACTTGGGATTGTTTGAAAGTGTCTTTTCCAAAATGTGATTGGTTGTTTCTTATCTGGGATCCAATGATTTACGGGAGTGGTCAGGTCTGAAGATCTTTTCTTGAACCCCAAGCAGCTGGCCACACTGCTCCAGGATTCTTAAGGAGTTCTCACTGGGTCTGGCTCGCCATCAACGTCAGCACCGTACTCCAAGATCAGTTCCAGGACCACTAAAAACCAGTCTGCACATACAGTACAGAACAATGAATAAAATTAATTTCAACAATAGTTTCTAAATAAAATGAGATCTCATAAAATGTTCTAAATCAATTACATCATTGTGTTACATCGATCCCTTCAATGAATTCAAAATGAAATGCTATACAGCATTACGTAAAACCAGATTATCTGTTCATCCCTTTTTTAAGGCTTTTAAATTATTCCATGTGTTTCCTTTTATTATTATTTTTAACCTTAATTATTTCTAACAAAAGTTTACCTATGAATTTACCCATGAATTAAATGACAAAGTGCTTAATAAGCACTGCATAAAATGAAGTTTAAAATAAAAGTGCATATTCAAATTTGTATAGTGCATTTGTAAAAGTGCTTCACATATAAACCATGAATAAAAATAAAAACAGTCAGTTTAGTACTCAGTACCCTTTTTGATTCAACACTCCGACTGGTTTTAACTCGTCCAGTACATATAACACAGTAATCAACACGTGCAACTTAGCAAGAGAGAATCCTGCTATTTTGTCATAGTTTAGTAACTCACCGGAGTTTCCAAGAAAACAACCACTCTCCACTCAATCAGAATTGGGAGTAAGACACTCTAAATGCTCTGTAAAGTACACAACCTTAAATTAGAACTGGTTTAAAGTACATTTTTTACACTTTTCAGACTGTTTGACTCACTGTATATCTTGTTCACATGCTCTCCGTGTCTCACTGCCGTCTCTAGCGAGGTGCAAGCCGCATGTGCACATGATACATTCAAAGAGACTTAGGAAAAGAGTGGTGTGTTCAAGGAGCGTCCGAAATGAAAGTTTTACGCGATGAAATATTAGAAACCATATGTTTACATGGGTTACACCTGCAAATACAAGGACTGGATGGAATATTTTAAAAAGTGTCTCCACACGTTTCCAACACTCTGGCTCACTAGGAAATGAGGTCCTATGTCCAAAATTCCGGACTGTCCCTTTAAGGTACTGCAAGCCCAGGTTTCGTTGTGATTATAGCAGACTTTTTAATGAGTGCAGGTTACATACAGTTCCTTTAACAACTTGGAAAATACTTTGAATCTTATCCGTAATTATGTAAGTTTCTATTGTGATTGTGACACATTTATTATGAGGGGTATAAACAAACTGTTGGATGAACTTACAGACCTGAGTGTCCTCACAGACTGCCCTTCGCGGTGCAGGTGGTAAAGTCCTCCCTGTTGGGTAACCACCGCTATTGTGATGAATGGCCAAGATCTTCCACCACTTTAAAATCCATTGTTGCACGAAAACATCCCACTTGCCATATTAAACCCATTAATCAACATTGTCTGCATTGTATTTCTGATGAGTGAACTTTCTCCGTTTGCACATTAGCGGTTCGCAAAGAGGTGCTACATACTGTCTGGGAGCTTGAATATAAGTCCCCAAGTTGTGGACCTCAAAGTTTTAATTACAGGCTTCCTCAGGCCAAGCGACCAGAAATGCCACATGTAATCAGAATAGATGTACGCAAACCAACTGGAGGCCACCCACGCGCTGTCACCGCAATGTTAGCGCCGCACAAAGCAAGTGACAGGTAAGTGTCCAAAGTATAGCCCTATGCTCGCCATTTTACATATGAAAAACTCAAGTGGACAAGTTTGAATTGTGTGTAATTAAGGCAAAAAAATGTTCTGAGAAGTGCCGTTGTTCTGTTTAATTTGAGATGCACTCTGACCTGCTAATGGGGTTTAAAATTGTACAAACTTCTACTATTTTCTATCAGTACTTTTATATATTCAATAGGAAAGTTTAAAAGTCCCATAATCACATTATTTTCTGATGTTCTGATGTGTAGTTTTGTTTCATTCACAGTGTAAATGAGACAAAAACACAACTCTGGGTAAGTTGTTGATGAGGAAACAACATTCTAACATGCCTTAAAGCTCACAAGATTATTAATAACAGCACCACAGAGATTATACTAAAAAAATGAAGCAGAAATCCGGACAAGCAAAGTAGTTTTTTCCAAATATCAACGCAAAAATTTAGATGATCTATGTCAATGTTTTCCAAACTTTTTTTCTGGGGACCCATATTTTAAAAGTCAAACCTTCGCAACCCAAGTCAATAGACATTATTCGTAAATCACAAAATAAATTTGTGACAATTATTGAACATTAATGAGGATATTTTATTGTTGACTGAGTGATCGTGTCTCTCTGAACAATTAGTTTTACTGTATTTCTCGGAAGGCGCACCAAATTATAAGGCGCAATATTAGTAATGTTGAATCCTCTTGTCTATTTTCATACATAACGAAACAAACAGACGGCACTTTTTTATTTCCTGTGAGGAGGACTCAAATATACATTGAGTAATAATGTGTTTAATGCAGCTTTGCGCACGTTTGTTTACGTTTTACAGAAACAAAACTTAAAATCACATGGCTAATTTGCATAAACGATAAGTGATTAAAATAAAAAATAAAAAATCTGCTCGCTCCTTGTGCATTGATGTGATCAGCTTCTGTCAGACTAAAGAACATGACTGAGTGGAATGGGACCAGACAAAGACTGAGACCGGTTCAGTCCTGGTTCAGTCCGTATGTGGCGCTAAAGTCCGGCATCGCAGTTTATGTCACGGAAACAGATTTTTTTCCAATATTCATTGAAACACAGAATCAAAAACTGAAAAAAAAATGAAGAAAATATAGATATATTTTATGATTATTATTAGTTTTATTTTGAAAAACGAATGAATGAATGATACACGGCTTCAGTACCAAACTGTGAAACAACATCTCTGTGGAGAAAAGCGTTTGACGGACTCTCCACCTGAAAAGTTACACGATGCACGTTTACCTATTAAACAATATCTTACTTGATCCAGAAGGCCGGCACAAGTATTTAGCTACAAATCACAACAAGGTGAGCAGTTAAAACGTCTTACGAATAATTAAAGAGGAGACGTCAATGTGCGACCGGCAGTGACAGTGAGGAGGGAGAAGACTATAGACTGTGAAATGGCTCTTTGCACTGATCCACTCCAGGGCCACAGCCTATTCATTGTGGAGCACTTAGAACACACAGGGTCAGTGCTGGAACACTAGAGTTTTGTCATGTCCTCTGGTCTGGAGAGAGCAGCAGGACTTCAAGTGGAAATGCCCCGAGGACTGAAGGAGTCTCACTAAAAAGACTGAGGAGGCAGGGACTGGAGGACTAAAGGGGAGAGTGAGGGGGGAAGAGGACTGGGGTCTGGTGGACTAAATAGGAACATGAGGGAGAGGGGCGGGGTCTGGAGGACTAAAGGGGTAAGTGATAAGGAGGAGGGGTCAGGTCTGGCGGACTAAAGGGGAGAGTAAGAGGGGAGGAGACCGGGTTCTGGAGGATAAAAGAGGAGAGTGAGGGGAAAGAGGTGTGGGGTCTGGAGGACTAAAGGGGAAAGTGAAGGGGGAGGAGAGGCGGAGTCTAGAGGAATAAATGGGAGGGGGGGATCTGGAGGACTAAAGGGGAGAGTGAAGAGGGAGGAGGGGTGGGGTTTTGAGGACTAAAGGGGAGAGTGAGAGGGGAGAGGGAGGGGTGGGATCTGGAGGACTAAAGGGGAGAGTAAAAGGAGCAGAAGGGGTGGGGTATGGAGGACTAAAGGGGAGAGAAGGGGGGGTATAGGGGTAGGGTCTGAAGGACTAAAGGGGAAAGCATGTGGGTAAGGATGAGGTCTGGAGGACTGAAGGGAAGACTGAGGGGCATGAGGGGCAGTGTCTGGAGGACTAAAAGAGAAAGTGAGGGGGAAGAGGGGTGGAGTCTGGAGGACTAAAGAGGCGAGTGAAAGGGAAAGGGGGGTGGGGCCTGGAGGACTAAAGAGGCGAGTGAGAGGGAAAGGGGGGTGGGACCTGGAGGACTAAAAGGGGAGAGTATGCACTTGTATAGTTAGACACTGTAGTGATGTGTGGTTGTGTACACAGTTTGCATCTATCTTACCCGCACAGTAGAAGACTCACCGAAATACAAGGACAGCTGGGTGCATGTGTCTCCCCCACTTCAATCCTTCCTCCCTCTATTCTCTGATCGTCTTCATAAATCCACAAAGCCACAAAGAGGAACAGTACATCATGAGGTGACGTGAGGTGAACTTGTAGCTCTGTTTCAACTCACATTAAAGTCCCACACACTGGAGAAACAGGCAAGAGTAATACACAGAAATTTGGCAAGGTAAAAATATTGAAATGCTGCTACACTTTTCTTACTTTGTCTTCTTAAACGTGCATAAAAATGACATTTAAAAGGTGTTCATGTATTGCCAAATCAATACAAAGTTAACTATTGTCTAGATAAGATTAGAATGAGTAGACACTGTATCCTGACTGCAGACTGCACACCATGTAAGTGCACTGCCGAACTCCTTTTACAAAATGCCAGTGTTGAAATGCCAAAGAGAACAGCAGTGCAAAATACTTTCAAATATAACCATGTTTAAAGAGGATATATTATGTATTCATGTGACTTTAAAGGGCGTTCTGATCTATGTTGTAATGTTGTTTCCTCATCACAAACTTACCCAGAGTTAGGGGTGGGCGATATATCGATATTTTAAATATATCGAGATAGTTTTTAAACTCGATATGAATTCTGACATATCATATATATCGATATAATGCTTATATTCAATTCTGATTTCGCCGCTTCGCTTGTTTACCTTCTCTCTCGTCGCCTTCGCCTCCCTGATTTTGTTCGCTCGTGTCTCATTCACTCCTCACTACCGCCCTGAACGCCGAAAGTTGGTGCCAGTGAAAAGCTTCAAGAACCTTTTCCACCATTTACAGACAAAACCATCAGCAGCACATCCTCATATTCCACCGAGTCGCGTCCTTTAGCCCGAAAGAAGCTAAACGAGCTGAGCTGCATGAGAAGTGCGCTGTTTATGCAAATGAGCCACGCGCTTAAGTTTCGTTTCTGTAAAATGTAAACACACGTGCGCAAAACTGCATTAAACACATTATTATCTCAAACGGGCTGATGTGGCTCTAGAGTGCTTTATATGCTTTATATATTGTAAAGTTTAGCAATGTAAAGTTTATTTATGCAGAAGATGTTAATTAATAATCTGCTGCAGTGTCACTTGTACAATAGTGTTTGGAAACGTTGGGTTTGATGTGCAGTGGATTGTGGGAAACCTCAGAGCTCCTTACTGCTGAATAATAACATGGATCTATTGAAATAAGGAGCCTCCTGAGCTTCCTCAGCTAAATGAGCTCATGGTTCTGGTTCTGGTTTGGATAACAGAGTTAATACAAAGATGAGCTTGTGTTGAGTTGGTTTATTTATGAATGAAAAGAAGGAAATATGTTTTATTTATGCTATTTTACAGTTAAATTATTATTTATGTAATTAGGGTTTTTTGTAATCTTAAATGTTCCTATATGAACTGCTGACCTCTTACACTTCAATAAAAAAAAATAAACTTGTGGAATTTGGCAGATGTTTTTGCAGTTTTCAGTTTTAGGGGGTTATTTTTTCTTGAACATATATCGAGATATATATCGTATATCGAGATATAGCAAAATATATCGAGATATATTTTTTGATCCATATCGCCCAGCCCTACCCAGAGTTGTGTTTCATTTCAGTCACACATGTTTAACACACAGGCCCTGAATATTTTGTTTGAGGTTCTTCTCACAAATGGAAAACTCTCTGTTCCACCTTGTGATGTCATGTGTGCTCCACTGTGTTTCTAAACTCCATTCAGCTTGACTATTGCCACTTGCTTGTCTTCATGGAGATGTTATTGTTTTGTATTATGGTATTAAATGTGTCTATCTAGCATTTATTTAATTACAGTTTTTCATTATTATATTTATTATTCATTATTCAAAAACACTTGTACTCTTTCCAGGCAAAGCAGTAACGTCTCTATGGGGACAAACAGTTGGCAGCTCTAACTAGAAAAGTTACACGGAGCACCTTTAACTCATCAATTATGCATGGAAGAGAAAGCACTTCCTTCTTTTAAGGACATTTGAGACCTGCACAGACCGCAGACAGCTGTGGAAATGAACAATGTTAAAGACAGAAAACAAAACAGAAACAAAAGCTCTGGCAACTGGCGAGCCATCAGGTAAACACTGTTGTGGTAAACGCATTATCATTATGAAAATATTTAAATGACGATGGAGACTTCTAGATGGAAATCTCTTATGCAGCAATTAGCAACTTAACTTTATTGCTTTAGTAAACACAAAATGGTAAACTGCTCCTCCAGCTCTGAGTATGATTTTTAAAGGTGCATTGTGTAACTTTTCTGGTAAAGAGTCTGTCATTAGTTTGTCTTCATGGAGATGTTGTTGCTTTGTCTCGAATGTTCCATGGTAGAGATTAAACCTATCCGTCTCAAGGACTATACTAACTATACATTACTACATTACAGGTCAGATCTGTGGAGAATCGCCCTATTCGAAGAGAGAATTACTGTATTTTTGTGCAAAAGAAACGCCAGTAATTAATGCAGGGTAGATAGATATGTTTAATGTCATACCAAGAAATAAAGTCGCAGGCCTCCTGGGGACCCGTAGGACTGCAGGGTTCTATTCCGACGCAAAACAGTGCGGCGTGGGACACATTGCGGGCGTGGGTGGGAGCGGACTGCACAATGAGGGAGCGGGCAGGTGGGATGATAAACTGCAGTCCCGCAAACTAAATATGAGTGTAAATTAAAATGAACAAATGATTTATGTTTGCTTATCATGCATCATTTGTGCTGGACATTTTATTTGGCATTAATAAAAACATTTTAAGCAGCCTAAACTTGTGGATGTGGTCTAATCTCGTGCATATTTTAAACAATTCCTTTCTGCTTCTCCATGTTTGATAGATCTTAAGAAAGCAAATGTCCACATCTTGCAGGATTTGCAGGTGGGAGCGGGACAAAATATCGCAGATGCAGGCGGGAGCAGGAATGAAAATTACAATTCTTTGTGGGTGGGAGCAGGACTGAAAATTCTGTCCTGCGCAGACCTCTACCGTGGAACATTCCAGGCAAAGCAATAACATCTCCAAGGACGCAGGCCGGTGACGGGACCCTCCAACAGAACCAGAAATGCACCTTTAAAACATTATAACAAATCTCAAGTCACTGAATAAGTCTATTAAGTCCCTGCTGTATTCTCACATAACACCATTAGATGCCATCTACGTTACTTCTGTCTGACAGTGTACCAGCTTTGGCCTGACAGAAAATGAACAGAGAACACAGGTAAGTCTGAACCATAGACTGAAATATATAAATTGGCATAGCTAATCTGCTAGTTGCCGAGTTCCAAATAGAAAGTAAACACTTCGGCTCCATCGAAATGACTTTAAAATGAAAATCTGTCCCCCCTCTCTCTAACTGCTGCTATGAGCCTCGCCATTTTGGTCTTAAAATGTTCGTATTAACCTGCTGTACATGATCCTGGTGTTTTTATTTTACTATTTTGCCGGTAAATAAATTCCTATTCCCAATATGGAACTCAGCTCAAAATTTCCTCCTATAACCACCAGCCTCATTGAGCTTCATTTGACTGGAGTCGAACACTATGAGTAACGTCACACTCAAGTTAGTCCTCTTCTTTATACAGGTCAAAAATATGAAATAAACATACATACGGTAGCGTTAAAGTGTCCTCATTGAACAAAACCGCATAACACTGGTATTTAATTAAGAGCATTTCATTGAGGCTTTTACACTTTTTCCATTTCTGTTACATTTCACTTGCACTTTTGTCAAATTATACCCAGAATCCTTTGCAGTTTATATACATTGACAAGCTCATAGTTCATAAAGTTGCTATTCAAACCATAATGACACTTTGTGATGTAGTTGAAGGTTGAAAGGTGACACAGTCCGCTGGTTTAGTCCACAAACACAGCCACTCGTGCTTCATGATCGTGGTGCTTTTGGGACATTTACAAAAGGATTTAAAGTGCATATGACAGCTTTCCGTGGTTTTCTAACAATGATTCAGTTTGGTGGGATGTTTATCATAGTTTTACATCGCTCAATTGGCAGTTTGTGGAAAAACAGATGAAAATAAACGTACAAAAATGCAGAAAGTAGCGGACACAATCTCTGTTATCAACGGACAATTTACAAGCAATGAGGATATTTTAGGACAATTTAAACCTTCATTTTTAAAAATAATAGTCATATATTTTAGTTTGTATAATCGTATATTTTGCGCTTGTTGACGATTTTTTTCAAAGTTATAAAGTTATGGAGTTACCTTTATGCAAGTTAAATCTGCTGCATGTGTCCAGTAGGAAATAAAATGATAAGATCCCCCCTCCAAAAAACTTAAATTCATTGATGTGAGCTATGTTTTTGTGAAATGAGTCTAACCTGTCATATGCACTTTAAATGTGATACAGTTTTTGGCTATTAAAGTGCTCAGACACACTGAGAATTAGCAGCAGCTTGTATTTACAAAGAAATGTGGTTCAACACTCATCCTACACATCACTTCTCCCCAAAAGAAAAAAAACTAGCGTCCATTCAGTAGTCATTTCAGCTAGGCCGTTCATTTATGACATTGTCTTTTTCTAAAAATGGTCAACACAAAGTACAAATAAAGGGTTTCACATGCACATTGTCATCCGTACTATATACATACAAAATACACTGTTCTCGCCTCTGAAGATTAGACTTTGTAAACACTGCTTTAGGTCCTTCAGGTTTCGGCTACAGTCTGTTCCATACAAAAATAAAGAGTCTCCCGCCGTGGCACTGACACAAAATGCTCGAAATTCGCCCCAACTCGTGAACGCACAGACAGACAGACAGACAGACAGAAGATACTCGTCGTCTGGGAGGAAGCTCTGGTGTAGATGGTTCAAAGTGTGTGATTTGAAAATGCAAAGGTGTCTCTACATTTTAATGCAGCACCAGGAGTCCATCTCGATAGAAGGACACAGAGGAGTTGAGATAATAGAGAGGGGCTTAGAGCGGGGATAATATGAGAGGACAGTGGAGAAGGCTAGCTGTGGATATAGATAAGGCATTAGCATGGGCAGAGGTTAGCGCGGCTCCAGACTCACTGCTAAAGCAATCTAGAAAAGTGACTTGAATGCAGAATTACACGAGCGGTTTTGCAGTTTCTTCATCAAACACATACGTGGAGTTGTGTTTTGTTTCATTCATATATTTAACATAGAAACCTTGCATATTTAAGCAAAGTTCTTCTCTCAAACAGCAAACACTCTGTTCTACATTGTGATGTCATGTGGTAATACAGGAAGTGCTCCATTGTGCTTTAAACTCCATACACTTTCACTAGAATAAACTGGATAATTTCAGCCCTGGAATTGCCAATGTCTACTGAGGAAAAGTTAAAAAGGTAGATGTTAACATGAAAACTGCAACTTAATGACATCACAAGGTGGAAAAGTGCATTTTGAGCTTTGGAGATGTAGACAGACTAATAATAAAGGATTACTCAAACGTGTGTGAATGAAACAAAACCGAATTCCAGATATTTTTGATAAGCAACATTATAGCATGACTTAAAACTGTACTATTTAATCAATATTTTTCTTATTTCAAGCTACACCTCAACTCATATTGAAAAAAAAAAAAAGAAATAAGTTGGTCAAAAGGTCAAAATATCAAATTATTCAAAATTCATATCGACAAGGACCTATTCAGTCCGACATGCACACATCAGTACACGCAGTTCAAGGTGAAGGGTCTTGAACATAAAAGTGAGGACGTGTTGCCAGAAGTGAGGATCAAACCACTACACCTCGAACTAGTGTGCGTCTAAATAAAAATACATACATTTGCGCTTTGTTTTTGTAAGCGTTTTCAACTACTGTGTCCAAGTAATTCCCCTTGTGGATAAATAAAGTTTGTCTGAGCTTTTCCTTCCATTCTAGGTCTTAACGGTGCATTGTGTAACTTTCCTGGTGGAGGGTTCGGAGATGTTATTGCTTTGTCTGGAATGTTTCACAGTGTGGTATTGAATCTATCGTCATGGAAACCAACACGGACAAAGTTGCAGGTCAGATCTGTGGAGAGGCAAACTCACTCACAGTTTTTCTAGGTATTTTTGAGCTATAAAACCACCTGTAACTGAATAAATGTAAGGTAGAGCTGTTTAATGTCATACTGTGGAACATTCCAGGCAGAGCAATGACATATCCATAGCAACAAGCAGGTGACAGACCCCCAATCAAAAAATTACGTAGTGCACCTTTAAACGAGAAAAAGGAAATTGCGAAAAAAAACATGATAAAAGAGCTCAGATGAATATTCTGAATTCAAGTGATTTTTGAGCGAATATTTTAACCAAAAATTTCGTAGTGCACCTTTATACGAGAAAAAGAAAATTGTAAAAACATGCTAAAACAGCTCAGATGAATATTCTGAATTCAAGTGATTTGGAGCGGATATTTTAGCAGTGCTGGAGAGGGGGCAGAGGCGTATTAAAGCGAAAGGAGGGAGGGTGGGAGAGGAGGCGGTGGAGTCGACGCTCAGAGCGCATGGAGGAACTCTTGCAGCTGCCGCACCAGCTCTGTGTCCACGGTCTCCATGAGCAGACTGAAGCCCTGGTCTCCCATCATGCTTTGCTGCGCCTTCAGCTTCTCATACACCACCTGCTGCAGTGATACGGCGTGCACGGGGTCCTCCAGGGCCAGCTGCAGGGGCACAAGAGAGCACGCACAAGATTTAGGAGAAGTCACTGGACACATTCACTCACACCAAGCACATAATAAAATCGGATCACTAGAATAATCAGATAATAATAATTAGATCAGATTTTTAGTGTTTGCCCAAGAGAAATCTGATCACTAAAACAGCTGGTGGCATCTGTCAGTTAATTGGGGATTTTTAGAGCAAATGTTGTATGTGTAGGACAAAGCACAAAAGCACAGTGAATTTTAAAGGTCTTATATTATGAAAAAATGATTCTTGTGAGCTTTTAGCCGTGTTATAATGTTGTTACCTCCTCAAAAACATATGAGGAGTTGAGTTTTGTTTCATTCACACATGTTTGAGTAACTCTTTAATACTAGTCTCTCTATCTCAAAATGCTCTGGTCCACTTTGTGATGTCATGAAGCGGTAGTCTTCAAGTTAACAGCTACCTTTTACCTTTAGTTTAATTGAGACGGGCAATTCCAAACCTGAAATCATCCAGATGATTCTAGAAAAGGTCTATGGAGTTTAGAAACACAGCGGAGCACTTCCGCATCACATCACATGATACTGCATGACATCAAAAGGTGGAACAGAGTGTTTTCTGTTTGAGGGATGAACTCAGCCTAAATATGCAGGGTTTGTGTGTTAAATATGTGTGAAGGAAACAAAACACAACTCCAGGTCTGTTTGTGATGAGAAAATAACATTATAACATTTATCAGAAAGTAGTGTAATAAATTATTTTCACTCTATAACATTTTCTATTTTCTGTCTTTGTCTAAATTAATTTGTCCTTTTGTCTAGCCATAGTCATCATGGGGCAAGTTCTGTGAAAGAATTAACAGTGAATATGTTTGAGGAATATCATCACCATAAAAAAAAAACTTCTGAAAATATTAGTTGTGAAGCATAACGGTTTCAATTTAAGATGGCTATCATTATTAAAAGAAACATGAAAGGAAAACAAAGTACTCCTAGGATTTGTGTTGTGCTTTCCAGTCTTGACAGGCCTCTCAAAGAGCTCCTCTGCAGTAATTATTCATTCGCTCCTCTCTCTGTAACCACAGCAGCCCTGAGGTACACTGACGGGAGCAAGTCTTACCAATCTGCACCATTAAAACTCCACCAATCACTCGCACGCCACAAACAATCGTGCACGGTGGGTGAAGTGTCTTGCCAAAATGCACAACAGCGGTATGAACCATCGACCTTTGGGTTTTAATCACACTTTTCTGACAGGCTTTCTGTAAGCAGAGACTTAATGGTCAGATTTTTAGACAGACGCACTTGTTTGTGTTGTTTTATTTCATTCACACATGTTTAACACACAATCCCTGCATATTTTTTGTCTGAGTTGTTGTCTCAAACAGAATGTAATTGTAATACAGGAAGTGCTCCACTGTGTTTTTAAACTCCATACACCTTCACTAGCATCATTTGGGTAATTTAAGACCTGGAATTGCCTGTACTGAAAAATAAAATGTAGCTGTTAACCTGAAAACTACCGCTTCATGACATCACAAAGTGGAAAAGAGCATTTTGAGCTTTGGAGATACTGACAAACTAAAAACAAAACACAACTCCAGGTATGTTTTTGAGGTGGTAACATTATGACAAGACTTAAAGCTCACGTGAGTCAGTTTTATGTAATATAAAGCTGCTTTCCAGTGTATAGAAATCGTGCTGTATTTCAGCTGACTTTGAACCTGCCCGAGTCACAGCTCAAAGAGTCTAGAGCATTTCAGTGCAGTGTGTGAGTGTGTGCGTGTGTGTGTGAAGAGAGAGTGCCTTATGGAGCGCAGAGGTCAGAGCAAAATGACCAGATTTGGAGAAAGTAAAAAGAGAAGGACTTCAGAGGACCAGACAGAGCAGCAGCAGAAGCACCTGATTAAAATGACAATGAAAAAACAGTCTCACATTTAGAGACAAAAGGCAACAACTGTAAAGCCAAGTAAGTTTTAAAACAAACTAGTTCTGTTTTCAAGGTTTTAAGACAATAAAAATCAAACAAAGTGCCTTTATATATATTGTTAAACTCAATCTGATGATACTGTGTTAATCTGTGTTGTTACTGCAGTATTCTGTATTGATATATTGCAGTATTGATAGTTCTTTCTGATTATTAAAGGGCCTATATTATGCAAAAAAGACTCTTGTGAGCTTTGAGTCATGTTATAATGTTGTTACCTCCTCAAAAACAAACCTGGAGTTGTGTTTTGTTTCATTCTCATGTGTCTGAGTAAACCTTTATTATTAGTTTGTCTATACGCAGGATTTGTGTGAATGAAACAAACACAACTCCAGGTATGTTTTTAGTGAGAAAACAACATTGAAACACAGATAAGAAAATCGTGTAATAATTAAAGGCCTTTAAAGATACAAAAAAAAAAAAAAACTTAATTCAAATCAAAATCGTGATATGAATTTTTGGCATATCACCTACACCTGTTCTTAGCCCTATTTGGTTAGTCTTAAAGGTGCACTATGTCAGTGGTCTCCAACCTTTTTTGTGCCACGGATCGGTTTTAAATCCGACAATATTTCGTGGACTGGGGGAGTCCTGTTTTAGTCCTGGTTTCAGACCTGGTTTAGATCTGTTTTAGACTTGGTTTAGATGTGTTTTGGACCTGGTTTAGTCCTGGTTTTAGTTCTGGTTTAGACATGGTTTAGTCCTGGTTTAGGCCTGGTTTTAGTTCTGGTTTAGACCTGTTTAAGTCCTGGTTTAGACATGGTTTAGTCCTGGTTTAGTCCTGGTTTAGACCTGGTTTAGACCTGGTTTAGACCTGTTTAAGTCCTGGTTTAGACATGGTTTAGACCTGGTTTGGACCTGGTTTAGTCCTGGTTTAGACCTGGTTTAGTCCTGGTTTAGTCCTGGTTTAGACATGGTTTAGTCCTGGTTTAGTCCTGGTTTAGACCTGGTTTTAGTTCTGGTTTAGTTCTGGTAGTTCGGAGGGGGGGGTTGGAGTGGTCCGCGTGACATACGGGAGGGGGCACGGTCCACACGGCATATGGGAAGGGGGGTTCGTGTTTTCGCGGCTCGGTACTAAACAACCCATGACCTGGTACTGGTGGGGGACCCCTGCACTATGTCACTGCTTGTTTCTATGGAGATGTCATTTCTCTACCTGGAATGTTCCATAGTATGACATTAAACAATTCTACCTTACATTTATTCAATTACAGCTGGTTTTATGGCTCAAAAATACCTAGAAAAACGCATTCTGACAGAGAGCGGGGTCACCTCTCCACAGATCTGACTTGTAACTTGGTCTGCCTTGGTCTCCATGAAGATAGAAAGGTTTATTACCATACTGTGAAACATTCCAGACAGAGCAATAACATCTACACAGAGAAAAGCATTTGACGGACCCTCCACCAGAAAAGTTACACAATGCATCTTTAAGCATGTCTGCGTGCGTATGAGCCGTGAGAACACTAGAACGTCTGTGTAATAATGACAGCACTGTAACCATCAAGTTGTACAATCCTCTTCTGCTCGGAACATATTGAACTTGTGAAAAAAAAATAAAAAATGAGAGTACAGAATAAGTAAAAGCAGCAGCGTACTTTCTCAATCCAGCCCATCCATCTCTGTCGTTTTAAAGGGTTTCTTATGTCATAGGATTCGGTCATTACAGTGGAGTGAGTGAAGGTGCAATAGCTTTGATTTGACAGCGGATGATAGCCTGAGAGATCACACTCGTCGGCCCACCTTGACAATCTTGACCTGCTATATGAGTGATATCCCAGCGCTGCCTCGTCTCTGGGTAATAATAAAAGTTATATGTTGACAGGAGCAATCAAGAATCAAGCTACAGTTGACAACAAAGTAACTGAAAATGACTGACAATGTTTTGCTTGTGTTTTGTGAAAAAAAGTATTGATACTTTTTCACAACAGCTAGAAGTGCTGCGATGTAGAGTAAACATCATTTCCAGTTAATGCTTTTCTGTGGCAAAATATCTGTGGAAATGTCTCACGTATTTTCCATCAGCTTCATAAATCTGTCTATCCTGATTCATCAGTCGGTTTCACTTCATGGAAACCATCTGACCTTGCAGCATTAGGATTCGTTCGCTCGATGGTAGGCGGATACTTTATTATTTAACCAATCGCTGCTATTTGGTCATGATGTATATAATGCGCCGGAACGCTCAGTGGTGTCCAAGTAATTGCCAGCACAACAGCAAACAAAGCAGAGAGGAACATGTCTGTCAAAGATCATTGTCATTTCTGCCAGGTGAAATTGAGAATTAAAGGTGCAATTAAAAAATATGAAGTTTGTATCATCTATATCCATCTCAGCCTTTTGAGATGGATATAGATAGCCTCTTTGTTTACTGTTGTGCTGTACCACAAAAGGAAGCCAGACAGGCGCTTGAGTTTGACATCATGGCTTCACAGCTCTTCGCTGATTGGCCGGTGTGCGGTCTACAACTTCCGGAGTTCTTGCAAACCCTCTAGTGTATTCTGATTCCTGACCTCGTCACTGGAGAGAAATGAAATTGATCTGAGGCACTAGGTGGTGCCAGCCTGATTAAAATCTGCCTACCCCATCACCAAATTTTCCTCCAACAAGGTCAACAAAGGACATACTCTGTCCATGAAGAATTTATCCACATCTATGAATATAAGAAAGACGAAAGGTTAAAGGCGAACAACGACTAGCATTAGTGAACTACTCCTGAGCAAAACTAATGTTATGGTCATGAATAAAACATAAGTAACTTGTTCTGATTCTACAATTAAAATAAAAAATGGATTTCATGATGTAAATACTTGCATAGATAAAGAGACTTGTGCAGTTTAAATGCTAGACATGTAATCTATAAACATTTGTAACATTCGAACTGCATAAATCTCTGTCTGTGCTAATATTAACATCATTAAACTGATTTTTAATTTTAATTCTAAAATCAGTCTGAATTCCTTATTAATGAATTACTTATTACTTATGTTTTATTCATGACCATAATGTTACTTTTGCTCAGGAGCAG